CTTTGGCTAGGAGTTTAGTCTCTGCAGCTTCCTGTCAGCTGCTCCTCAGAGATATCAGGACAACATTTAAAAGCTAACAGACTATTTCCTCGTCTATAAAATGATGACTAGATCTCAAAGGATGCTTTTCCCACTAAAAAGTCATTTGGACTTATTCTCTACCCTAGTGGCTCCTCTGGGAAATTTCCACATTATTGAGAATGGATACAATGCAGAGAGGCCTGCACACATCCTGCCCCTGTGTTAAAGGATCACTAGGGGATCAGGGGCATTTGAATGCATGCTTCAACGTAACAGAACTATATCAACAGCCATGCATCCCCTGCAATAATGCAATACAGGGCTTCAACTTAAGTTTTCTCAAAACTGTAAAATCACATGCTTTTTGGAGGAAGACATTACCTTCTCATATCATCTAAATTTATTTTTTTTGAAGCTTCAAGGGTGCCTTGAATTCTAGTACTTCGATGAATCCCCTTCGAACCCTTGGAAACTCGTAAGTTTTACATAAGGGTAAAACAATGCTCTTGGTGCTCAGGGTTTAATATGATGCCCATATTGGCCAAAATTGTGTATTGGCAAGACTTAACCAATACACTTGACTAACAGGTTTCTTTGCTATGCCGTAGGGACTAGTTATGCTTTTATAAAGTTGTTCTCACCGTCTATCATCAATTGTTTATCCTGAATGCTTAATGGAGACTTCACTTTTCAGCTACTGTTGCATCCATGGCAAATTCTTCCTTATATGCACCTGCCATGTGTACCTCTCTGCCTTCCATGGGTGAGGGGATGAGTCTGGGGGATACAGGATGGTCCCTATCTATAATTAATCCTTGAGCGACCACCTTTATCTCTAAGCCTTGTCCTGAGCCTGAATTCACAAAGGCAGAGTTCTCCCCCCCCCCCCCCCCCCCCCCCCCCCCCAGCTGATGAAGCACCTGAGCAGATGCAGGGCTCCAGACACCTCTGGAGTCCAGGATAGCTTCCCTATCACAAACCCTCAGTCTCCACAAAAATTGTTTCAGGGAAAATCCCTTCTTCTGTGCTCTCTTCACTCTGCCGCCATTGGTGCAGTTAGGGCTTGTTTCTCAACCAATTTCAATGACACGTGGTCAGGAGTCCTGCTGCTGAGCTCAAATCTCACTTCCAACTTTCTATGACCTTGGGAAATTATTTAATCTGACTTTTGTTTCTTTGCTGTTAAAATGGAGCCACTGACGGTCCTCACCTCATACAAATGTTACGAGGATTAAACGAGGTGGTAACTGTAAAGTACCTGGCACAATGCCTGGATCAGAGCAAGTGTTTCATAAATACCAATATTGTTATTCTCAACAGCCACCAGTCTCCTGCCACAGGGTAACCACCCTCCACCAACCCATCTTCCATGCTACTGCTAGGGTGCACTTTTAAAAATATCGATTATAGGGACTGGGGTTTAATTTCATTTTGTTGCATTTGGATTTCCAGTTTTCCCAGCCCCATTTGTTGAAGATGCTATCTTTTCCCCAGTGCTTGTTTTTGGCACCTTTGTCTAATATAAGATAATGGGCTGTGGCTCAGTGGTAGAGTGCTCGCCTAGCACGCAAGGCGCTGGGTTCAATCCTCAGCACCACATTAAAAAAAATTAATAAATAAAATAAAGGTATTGTATCCAACTACAACTAAAAAATATTTTAAAAAATTAAAATATCAATTATAAAATACATATTTTTGTCATAGAAAAAAATTCAGAAAGGTTACCTGTAGTCTGACCATAGAAACAATCACTTGACAAAGTGCCTGCTAGTCTTTTTCTCTATTTTCTTTTAAACCAAACAAGATTCCCATTTATTTTTATTTGTTTTTTTTTAAAGAGAGAGAGGGGGGAGGGAGAGAGGGGGGGAGTGAGAGAGGGGGGGAGGGAGGGAGAGAGAGAGAATTTTTAAAAATATTTATTATTTAGTTTTTGGCAGACACAACATCTTTCTTTGTATGTGGTGCTGAGGATCGAACCCGGGTCGCACGCATGCCAGGCGAGCGCGCTACCACTTGAGCCACATCCCCAGCCCAAGATTCCCATTTATATACTTTTCTTTTGGGAAGAGAAAAGTCACCATGAATTAAATCCAGGGCTACTTAATCACTGGGCCACATCCCCAGCCCCTTTTTATATTTTATTCAAAGTCAGGGTCTTGCTAAGTTGCTTAGGCCCAGCCCCTTTTTATATTTTATTCAAAGTCAGGGTCTTGCTAAGTTGCTTAGGGCCTCGCCTAAATTGTTGAGGCTAGCTTTGAACTCACTATTCTCTTGCCTCAGCCTCCTGAGCTACTGAGATTACAAGCATGTACCACTGTGCCCAGCTATATATACTGTTATATTTTCTGTTTTCACCCAAGCATTTTCCTATGATTGAACAATAAGCAACATAAGATAGGTTTGGTTTTAATTCTTTGTTTAGATACAGATAAAATACAACCTGGAAGAGTAAGTGACTGGCAGTGATGGGACTCTGCTCCCCTTGCCTCTTGCCCACTGCAGATGCCCTCCATCTGCCTGCTAAGGCAGTAGCTGCCACTTTTGCATTGCTGGAGTTCTTGGATGCTGAGTGTCTATTGCCTACGTTTTTGCTCGTTGGCTTGAAGCTGGTACACATCCCCCCTGGGAGCTCCTCAAGTCCCAGGAACACAGCAGAATACCAAGGTTTCAGGTCCAGCCCTGCACTAGTGGGCTTCCACCTGGATCTGTGCTCCCTGCTGCCCCAACCCTGTGCTCATGTATTTCTGTGTCTGGAGAGGCCACCTTCTCACCTCTCACCATCTGTATTCTCTACATTTTTTTTTTTTTTTAAACTCAGCTTGGCCAAGTTTCCTGAATAAAACATGTATCTCCTTAATGAGGACCAAACCTGGTCCTCCACATACTCTTACAGCACAGCTACTTCCATGCAAGCATGGCTGTGGTGGAGTGCAGGGTCAGATCCCACTGAATGGGCCACTAGGTATTTTATCATCTATTCTGTCTCCTCAAGCAAGCCACAAAGTCCTTCCTTGCTGAGCCACTTGTCTTCATTTTTATTCATAGTGATTAAGGATACAGGGCTAGGTGATCAATGAATGACTGATAGATACAGGACAACAACCTTGTCCTTCTTTTACAATGCATGTGTTTTTATTTCTTTTTCTTGCTGATTGGACTTGACAGGCGTGAGACCAGCTGGTGCTCCTCTAGGCCTCACTATGACCCAGATGTGGTTCTAAGTGTTTGCACAGATGAACTAACCCAACCCGCAGCCTGGTGAGTAGGTGCTATTACCATTTTCATTGTACACTGAAGAAACAAGACATTGGAGGTTGGGAAAGTACCTAAGCTCTCCGCACTAGTAAGCATGGCAGTTGAAATTTAAATTAAAAAAAAAAAAAAGAAACAAAAGAATCTAATTTGACCAACCCTAATACCTATGCAATTGAATGCAACAATTAAAACATTATTAAGAATCAACTATGCCCTAAGCACTTGGTAAGGACATTTCTGACCTTGGAGGAAGGAAAACACCTAACATAGCACTAAACCCAGGCAGGTGGGACAGATGTATACAAACACAGAAAAGAGCAAGGGGAGGGGGCCCAATTCCTATGATTGGAACTAGCTTCCCCCAAATACTGGGATATAAGGTGGCCCTCGAGACCTTGTCAACACTAGTCATGCCTAAGGAGCAAGGTGAGCGGAACGTGATGCTGACATGTCTGTGCACACTCAGCAGGACCCTGCATGTCTGCTCGCTCCAACAGAAGCCAACATTTTTTGCACTGCAAGAGAATGGTCCCTTGGTGTCTACACAGGACTCTGGGGTAGCTGGGGTGGAAGGACAGCTCCTTCTCACAGGCTGTGACACGGCTTCCCAACAAATCACACAATTTTGTTGCTATTTATGTATTTTGACAAGTCAAGAGGACAGGACTGTCCTTTCCTAATACCCATTTGTGTACCATAAAGTCACAGTAATTCAACACGCTTATCACCAGCCTCAGTGTTCTTCTGTCAACACCTGAAATGCACGTGTCTTTCAGAGAATCTCTATCAACAGCAGAGCTCGGAGCCCAGGGTGTGCCTAGAGCCTACCACCGCACCAGCAACCTCCTCTAAACAGAATCCACGTGTCTTATTTTTACCCTGGAGAGCAAGGCCTACCATACCAGCTAACTCTTCAGTGTTCTGACCCCACAGCACTGCTGCATGCACTACCCCACAAGTACCTCTGTTAAAACCCCTAACTCATCCCCTGGCCTCTCAGCCACTTCAGACCCACTCATCCAAACCGAACTCACAAACTCTCCTTCAAACCTGTGGTCTTAGCAAACACCACCACCACAGTGGAGATCCAAGTTGGCCTCATTGCCTTCTCCTCTTAAGAGGTTCTAGGACCCTTTGTCCTTTCCTAACCCACAACTCCTTTCTTATAGAACCCTCCACCAATCTTTCCTCCTCACAAGCCAGAACAGTCTTTCAAAGCATAAGTTGGCAGGACATTAGTTGCTTTTGACCTCTTAGGAGCTCACCTAGTCCAACTGCTGACCTTGGCTCCCTGGGCTCTGCTCCATCTGGCCCTTGCCTACCCCTCAAGCCACCTTTTCTTTCTCCTCTCTTCTCTTGCCAGACCAAGAACAGTCCAAACAAGTTCCACCTTCCCATAGCTCAAGCTGTTCCCTTTTCCTAGAATGTCTCCTTTCTGCCTAATGGCCCTGAGGGGCTCAGCACCGGAGCCACCTCCAGGTGCTTTTAGCTCAAGCTATACTACATGGCACCTGTCCCACCTGCGCTAACATGGCACACACCTCATGGCATCATAATCAGTTCCCATCATCTTTTTCATTCACCTCTGAGCTCACTTCTGTGTTCCCAGGACTCAGCATGCTGGGAAACTCATAAGTGTTTTCCAAATGAAAAGGCAGAGCCTGGAGATTCAAAGCCACCAGGCCATGGCCCTTAGCTCTTCCCCGACATCTAAGTGGACTTACCGACACAATCGCAGGTTGGGAACTCGGCCTGAGCCCTCTTGGCAGGTGTGTCCAGCAGACTCTTGGTGGGTGTGTCCAGGTACTTAAGAGGTGACTCCAAGAAGCCACTGAGGGTGGGTGTGAGTGGGTTCTCAGCCTTGGTTGGTGTGGCCTCCTGGCCTCCCTCCTCCGAATGAAAGCAGGTGGTTGAGAGCACAGTCACAGCCCCTGAAGACTCAATCTTGATTTGCTTGGGAGAGCGGGTAGCAAAAGGGCTCTCAGGGGCTGGGAGACATGCTGGTTGGTTCTCAGGGTCCTGAATGGGCACAGAAGGGGGGCCGGGAAGCCCAAAGCTATCCCCAAATTCAGCCTCAAACTGCCGGATGAGCTCTTCCAGTTTGTCATCGGCAGGGGGAAGGGGGCCAGTGGAGCCTGGCTGCAGGGTTGCCATAGGGCTGGGGGACCTCATTTCCTGAGTAGGGGGCAGCAGGCTGTCCCCGGAGGGACTAGGTGCAAATAGCGCAAGAGAAGGTTCTGGGGGCAAGGAGACAGCAGAGCCCTGTGAGGCAGGGAGAGAGACAGGGGGAGGGGTTGGGAGAGGGGCAGGAAGAGAAACAGGGGGAGGGAGGGAGACAGAGACTGGGGCAGGGAGAGACAGAGAGACAGGGGCAGGGAGAGAGACAGAGACAGGGGCAGGTGGATGTGCCTGCACTTCCTCAGAGGCTGGGGACCTCAGCCCTTCCAGGACAATCTGCCGCAGCGGCAGGAAGAGGGGCTGGGCTTCCCGGGGCCTGGACTTCTTGATCTGAATGGGCTTTCGGACACTGGGCTTAATTCCAGGGGTGTTTTTCTCTGCTCCCACAAGACCTCCAGCTGGTGTGGGGGGCTTCTTCTTCTTCTCCTTGGGTGGTTTGTCAGGAGGCCGTGGGGCAGGTGAGCTTGGTGGGGCCCACCAGCCAGGAGTAGGAGGCTCTGAGGGAGCGGGGAAGGAGGCATCGTGGGCCTGTTCTAGAAAGAGACTGCGCTTATGGTGGAGGTGCTGCTGTAGGGCGGTCTGGGCCTTCTGGTGGGTACTGGGCTCCGAGGATGGTGGAGGAGCCTCCTTCTGGAGGACTGGTGATGGGGATGGGGCTGGAGAGGAAGAGGGTGCCTCAACCTTGACCTTGGGCTTGGTGGGTAGGGCCTCAGGTCGCTTGAATACTGACTGGATGTAATCACTGGCACTGCCCAACAACTGCTCCAGTTCAGCCATGGGGTCAGGGCTTGGACGGGGCACAGGCCAGGAGTTCCGGGATGTGGCTGGTGGGGTGTTGGTGCCCCAGGCTTCAGGAAACTCAGTTCTAGGAGTTGCTGGAGGAAAGGCAGGACTATCAGGAGCAAAAGATGCATGCTCCTCGGGGGGAACCACAGGCCATGAGGGGGCCCGGAGGTAGGACTGGGGAGACCTGAAAGGGGCTGGAGGGGACAAGGCCTCAGGGAGGGGACAAGAAGCCTGGGAGGTGGAGTGAGAAGGCTGGGGGAGGGCAGAGGAGAGTTGTGTGAGGGCCTCTATGGCGATGGCGGTCTGCAGGCTGATGTTTTTTTCCTTGGCGATGCTCAGGGCACTCTGGGACAGGGGCAGGCCCTCCAGGGGAGGAATCTGGGGGACCTCAGAGCTAAGAAGTGGCCTGGTGCTTGGGGCTGGGAGGCTAGCCTCACCAGGAGGCAGAGTCCCTGGGAGCCTGGGCCTTTCCTGCCCTCCTTCCATGACCACAGACTTGATCTTCCCCTCCAGCCACTCGAGGTAGTCAGGGCACTCTGGGCCATCGCAGTTGCAGTTGGGTGGTTTCATACCATGCCGTGCAAGGGCCAGGGCTGTCTGTAGCGTGTCAAGGTCTTCACTGCCAGCAGAGCAGCCCTCAGACCCTGGCCGGGAGCCCCTGCTATTATTCCCAGCCTCGCGACTCATCTCACGGTTGAAGGTTTCATAGAGCCGGGTGCTAAGGGCCCCGTAAGAGGACACAGCTTCGGCCACAGCCGAAAAGGCCACCAGATCGTGGGCATCTTCCAGGCGAGCAGTGTGAGCTGGGCCTGGGGCAGCGTCCCAGTCGGGCTTCTGGTCTACCCGCCAAGGACCTGCAGTCCCCAGCAGACTGGGTCCGGCGGGCTCTCTAGCACCATTGACCGGCGCCCCTGAGGTGCTTAGCTGCCGTGAGTCCCCATGGTACACTGGCCCTGAGTCCATCTGACCTGGAACAGGTCCATCAACTGGGCTGAGCTCTGGGCCTGTCTGGAGAGAGAGGGGAAAGCAAAAAAGGAAAAAGATGAACCACATTATTTGAAAGGCATTGCCCTCTTCACACAACTCTGATGTACTTCCCAATCCTGGTTTTCTTACAAACCCTCTCCTGGTACTTCCTGAGCCTCAGTTCATCTTCCCATGTCTCTGTTGCTTAGTTAGCCTCACCAGCTGCAACAGAAAGATTTTTTTTCCCCCTAGTGCTGAGGATTAAACTTGGGGTGACTTATCACTGGGATACATTCCCAGCCTTTTCATTTCTGAGACAGGGTCTTGATGTTGCATGAGGCTAAGCTCAAACTCACAATCCTCCTGCCTCAGCCTCCTAAGTGGCTGAGTTTATAGGCATACACCACCACACTCTGCAACAAGGAGGTCCTAACACAGAGTCCTCAGTGTTGCTCAGGTTCCGTGACAGTCTCAGACTAATCATACTGACAAGCTCCCCGAAACCAAGGGCACCAAGAAAAAGTCTAACTCACAATCACCAAAGTCACACCAGGATCATATTTATTCTTTTTCCCCAAGAGGTAAAGAAAGCTAACCAAGCCCAACACATAACTAGGTGCTTTAAGTGGGAAGCATGTACATGTAAGGGTCAGTGGGGAAAAGCCCTTTCATAAACTCAGCCTGGACCAGCAGTCAGCCCTGCTACTTATCAGGAAGGAATCCACAGTTCCTTTCTCTCTCCTTTACTGTCCTCACTTAAGCCCAGGCTGAGCTGTCAAACAGCAAGGGACAGACCACATTCCCCACATAGCCCCAGGCTGCAGGGAAACACTGGATCCCACACGGTGTGTGTTTAGCCCGTGCCAAGTCAATCATACTGATGACAAGAAAATTGCTGCTTAGGAAAAAAAAAGAAAAAAGAAAAAAGACTCAGGCCACTTCCCAAGTCCAGGAACCACCATTATACACCTGATATCTACAGAAGCACAAAAGGGAAAGAACGAGAAGAAGGGGACCAGGAACACCCGGCAAGGCCAACACTGATAAGACATGAAATTGAGTCCGCGAAACTCATCCTTCAGGAAAGAAAAGTTCTTCTTTACTATCAAATGCCAAGAAAGAACACCCAAGGAATGACAGATTTTGAAAGTCACAGTGGATGCTGCCAGTAGTATACAAAGATAGAAGGTCTGAAGGCACCTCCTTGCAGATCACTGAATTAAAACAGGAACTCTGTAATGAAGAAACCTGATGTATACCACTTTAACCAAATGACCAAAGTTATCATGACCAATATTAAGACAGACCAACATCATGGGCCTGCCTCTGCCTATGATACACTGAGATTAACACCCTTCACACAGAACTCTTGCCAAAATGTAGAACCTGAATCTATTCTTGAGGAAATGTCAGGAAACCAAAATTGCAGGGTGTTCTACAAAGTACCTGAAATGTTCTCTTTAAATATTTCAGTCAAGAAACAATTTCTTCCAATTTGTAAGGACAAAACGCACGCTCACAGGTTAGATCTCAGACTGAGGAAAACCATCAATAAAGTATATTGTTGGAACAATTCATGAAATTTGAATGTGGACATGGACAAGATAATACTGAGTGCACTTAATCTTCTTGATGTGGATCATTAGGCTATGGTTACATAAGAGAATGTCCTTTGTTACAACACACACGCTGAAGTAATGGGGTAAAGGGACACAGTAATTCCAACTTATCTACAAATGATTTCAAAAAAGCTATATGTGTAATAAAAAATACCTACATACTACATACACATGAGACACTAAGATAGACCTACATACTACATACACATACTAAGACACATGAGGCAAAATGTACAGGAGACCCAGGCACTATTCTTACAAATGTTTTTTGTTTGTTTGCAATAACCACTGAGCTACATCCCCAGCCTGTTCTATTTTGTTTCAGACAGGATCTTATTAAGTTGCCCAGACTGACCTCAAATTTGTGATCCTCCTGTCTTAGCCTCCCGGTTGCTGCAATCATAGGCATGTACCAAAATGTCCATTCTCGCACAACTTCTCTGTAAGTTTTAAACTTGCATCAAAATAAAAAGCTAAAAAAGAAATCAGGGGCTGGGGTTGTGGCTCAGCAGTAGAGCACTCACCTAGCATACACAAGGCCCAGGGTTCAATCCTGAACACCACATAAAAATAAATCAATAAAATAAAGCTATTGTGTCCAACTACAACTAAAATATAAAGATTTTTTTTTTAAAAGAAAGAAAACAAAATACAAAGCACTTTAAACAGATTGCTGAAATGATGCTAGCTCCAAGACTGTCAGAAAGGACCATAACAGGCTCGAAAGTGGTGGCAGATACTAGGACTTCAGATCAGACCTGTGAGAGGTGAGGCCCCAGCCTTCAGTTCCTGCCTCATCCTCATCACTGCTCCTGTTCTGGTCACAAGGGACCCTTAGGCTTCTCCAATAGGCCACTTTCTCTGATGTCAACAAGCTTTGTACATGGAGTTACCAGTCCTCAGGCGCTGAGAGGGTCACTCTGGCTTATTTTTCAAGCACCAGCTAGTGTCACCTCCTCTCCCACTCAGTTGGCAGAGTTATCTGTGGTTCCTTCTCCTGGGATCTAATGACACTTTGTACACTGTGGCTTCTTCCCTAGGTTCCCATAGAACCTTTATTATCATTATCATACGCCATGACTATCACATGTTCAAGCAGCTGCCTGCCCTACCAGCCAATGTCCAAATCTTAATGACTTCTGTGCCTCCTGTCCACAGCTGGTACAGCAGCATAATCCCAGGAGATTAAAAGGCATCACATCCCCCACCGGCCATGGAATAATCCAGCATCTCTCTAACCCTGGAGGAAGACCACTTTTCAGAGGAAAGGCCCAGGAGTATGGCAGATGACCCTGCACTCCCTTCCTTCTTATAGACCTACATGAGCGTGAGCTGACAAAGCCTACAAAGTCTGAAGCAATCAAAATTTACATGCTTGTATATAAAGGACAGAAGGAGCATGCATAACCACAAAGAAACATGAGGTGGGCGCAGCGGAGAATTCTTGTAATCCCTACAGCTCGGGAGACGGAGGATTCCATGTTCAAAGCCAGCCCCAGCAAGTTAGTGAGACCCTGTCACAAAATAAAATATTAAAAAAGGGCTGGGAATATGGCTCAGTGGTTAAGCACCCCTGGGTTCAATTCCGGGTACCAAAAAAAAAAAAAAAAAACACCTCACCAAAAACGTGAGTGTAGCATGGATTTACAAAAACAGTGTCAGGAAGACTAATGCTGCACGAGCTGAGGCTTCCCCAAAATGGTCACAACAACGAAAAGGGATTTAAAAAGTTATTTTTGGTGTGTGAATAAGAATAAGGAAGGGCTAGGCTAGTTTCGTGCCTTAGAATTCCCTGCGAAGTAAAATGCTTTTTGTCCCAAAAAAAAGAGAAGAAAGGGAAAAGTAGATAAGGATATGAGGGAAAGAAAACAAAGCCAGCAGGGGTGGGGAAATCTTATGAAACCCTAAATTCTACTTTCCCAGTCAGGAAGCCCACAGAAATATTTTTCAACACCTGCCAATGGTCCTGGAGCAGGGGAGGACACCAACAGGCACAAAGGGCAACACCATTCCCAGCCTCCAGTCGCCTCAGTTTGAGAACCATGCCGGGTAAGACCCCTGAATGCATTCACAGAGGAGCCACAGGAGCCAGGTTCCACAGAGGACCTCAACCTGTCCATACCCAACCAGTTTAACTCCTCTTGTCACGTGGTCAGTGGGTCAGCAGATGGAGAGATCCCATGGCGGCCCAGTCACAAATCCGAAGGCTGTGGGCCAAATCTGCCAACAATCTGCTGGAAGGCCTACACGGTATTCATATTTTTGTTTATTTTGCCAACATTTAAAAATCAAACTGCACACGAAACTTGGGATTTCCTTGATGGTCCACACCTCTACAGCAGCGGTGACTGCTGAATCACAAAATGTAAGTGCTCCAGCTCATTCTCAGTTCCACCACTCCGTACTGCCTCGAAACCAAGGTCAGGGGTCAGGGATTACTTACTAATTGCCTGAATTAATTATCACTTCATTCACTTGTGTTACCTGCCAAGCCCCTGAAGGCTTTTGAATGTGCAACTCAGTCTGTAGAAGTTCAAATTTCACAAGGTCTGCTATGGCCCCTCTGAGGCTGGCTATGGAGCATCACAGCTGTAAGGGCTGGCTCACCACTGGAGACAGAGCACAAGTGGGATGTCAAATGATGGGGGATGAATCTCTAGAAGCCCACCACAGGGCTTTGTTCTCAGAACTGTCCAGTTCAACATGTTTATCAATAACAATAACAATAGAGAGGGCACACTTATCAAACAGGCAGATGTTGAAAACAGGAGGGCAGGCTGGGGTTGCAACTCAGTGGTAGAGCACTTGCCTAGCATGTGTGAGGCATGTGTGAGGTTCGATCCTTAGTACTACATAAAGATAAATAAATAAAATAAAGGTATTGTGTCCACAAAAAAAAAAAAAAAAAAAGGAGGGATAAAGCTATGCTGAATGACAGTGCCAGAAGTCAAAACGTCAACAGGCCAGAGAGAAAAAAATCTAACAGGGTAAGTACGGTCCCGTACTCACGCCCCAAACCACATCTACACAGATTAAAAATGGGGGAAGCAATGGCAGCAGAGCACATCCAACTGTCTCAGGAATCGAGAGGGAGAAAAGACTGAAGGCTAACTGGAGGTATACTCAGTATGACATGATATGGCAGCATCAAAGGGTCTCATGACCCACAGTTTTTTCAAACTTTGTGATTACAATCCAGAGTAAGAAACACATTTTACACTGTGATCCTTTATGAATTTATAAACAATGTTTTACAAAACACTACTTCCCTTTACTAGATAAATATGTCTTTCTTCCTTCATTTCTTAATGTTGACCGATATCTTTTAAGTCTATCTCACAGTCTACTAAAGGGTCCCATACACAGCTACCTAAAAAGGACCTGTAGCACAGGTGGAGGTGGCGCCACTCTGCCCAGACAGTC